AAGATGTATAGCATTTCAACAAAATCCATAAATTAACGAAAAAGGAGAGGGAGGTTCGAAGTAAAATGGTAGAGGTCTAGTTTTTAGTTTTTATATAATGATAGTCATTAAAAATGTGAAGGTAATCACTAGCAAAATTAAAGATAAAATTTTCTAAGTTTGAGTGGGAGAAACAACAGAGCTATTAGGAAAAAGGAGGGGCAGTAAGAGTAATCCAATTATGTAAAAGTAAGGAAAAGGAAAAAACTAAGATAAAGGAATAATGAACATAAAAGTAAAGTGGAAGGACTAAGAACAAATGTGTAATTCTTGCAATTGCAGCTGATTCTTATTAAAAGTCTCTTGACTGGTTTAAAAATTGAATTTCAGCCATACGTAATTTATAAATCAACAAACCTACTACATAAACTAATAAACTCTAAAAAATAACAACAACAAAAATTGAAAATAAAGGTACAAGTAAAATACTTTCTATGGAATGAAAACAAAGAGTTAGGATCATATAATGTGAGATTAAAAAACAAAACAAACAAACAACAAAACACACTGCCATCAAATCGATCCCGACTCACAGCGATCCCCATTGGTTTTCCAAGGTGGTAAATCTTTACAGAAGTAAATTGCCTGGTCTTCCTTCTGTGGAGTAGTGGTGGGTTTGAACCGCCAATTTCTGGTTAGCAGTCAAATGCCTTACACACTGTGCCACCAGAGCTCCTTTAATGCCAGATAGGGCCTACAAATACTTTTATAGTAAACCTTAGATAATATTATTTTACACTTTCAATTTAAGAAAAAAAAGAATAGGAATTTGATAAATGACCAGATAAAATAATGAAAATGAAAATATTTTGCTCTATTTTAGTAATAAACATCAAGAAATGAAATATTCCATTTATAACTTAACAAAAAAGCCCTAAAATCCCTAATTAATGATAAATTTAAGTAACAGAAGGTATACGAAAACTACAAAATCTTTTTGAAAGACATAAAATAAGCCCTGAGGAACAAAGTAATACCATTTAACATGCTAGAAAGACATATATCACTAGATGGTAAGACTCAATGTCATAAAAATGCCAATTCTCCCAAATATATAACTCTGTATAAAATCAAATGTTCTTTTTAATTACATAAAATAATCTTGAAGTGAATATAGAAAAATGCATACTAAGAATAATAAGAAAAATGTAAAACAAACAGGGAAGGGATTGCCTTATGAAATAACAGAACATACTATACAACTGCTAATCAAATCAGCATGGTATCATTATAACATAAAACAAATAGATTAGAGCAGCATGAGTCCAGAATTGGATTCACATGTGTATGTATGAAAACTTAAGATAAATGTGGTGTTTCAAATCAGTGGGGAAAATGGATTGGTTAAAAAATGATGCAGGCACAACTGACTACTATCTGGAAAAGAAATTAAGATGACCCTTTATTTCACTCTCTGTATGTATATAAATTCCAGATGGAGTAAGGATTTTACAAGACAGATTATCTTGACTAGCTAGGGATGTGAAAACCTCAATTAAAACAAATAAACCCAGTCCCAGCTTTTGTTTCATAGGCTCTATTTGCTATTCAAAAAGGTAAAACTCTAATGGCAAAAGGTACCTAATGTTTTGCAATTCTCGTCAGTCATAGTACTCAGCTGCAAAAAGAGTAGCTGAATACACTCTGGTTAAAGAGGAAAAATAAATAAAAAAAAAACTACCAACCAACCAACCGCCTGGAGTCGATCCCAACTCACAGCAACCCTACAGGGCAGAGCAGAACTACTCAATAGGGTTTCCAGGGCTGTAAATCTTTATGGAAGCTGACTACTGCATATTTCTTCTGCACAGGAGATGATGTTCAAACTGCTGACCTTTGTGGCTTCAGAGCTCCATTAAAGAGAAACAAGACTTTACTAAATGTTAAGTAACTCAGAGTTTCTGGAAAGGCCAGGAAAAAATTAAGTTCTAGCTTAGCCTCCACATAAACAAAAACAAATGGAAAGTGGATAAAATGCTAAACTTCAATATATACAATTATTTTTATACTGTTTTGGGAGCTCTGGTAGCATAGTGGCTAAGGCACTTGACTGCTAACCAGAAGACTGGCAGTTCAAACCCACCAGCCACTTCTCAGAAGGAAGATGGGGCAAGATATCTACTTCCATAGTGATACTGCCTCGGAAACCCAAGGAGGGGTCTCTATGAGTCGGGTCCGACTCGACGGCACATAACAACAACAACAATTATTCTGTTTAGGGTAGGGACTGGTCAACTAAATAAGCCACAAAAGTCTGAAATGTCAAATAAATAGTAACTGATCTAAATTAAACTTTTGGAAAAGGCACATGTGAAAATGTAAGCTAAGTTAGCATACCAGATTGACAAAGGTTAAAAGACTGATGATCTTCCATTCTGAAAAGGCATGAAGAAACTGTACTTGTACACTTTCACTGGCAGTATAAACTGGCGTACCCTTTTCAGAAAACAGTTTAGCAATATATGGAAAAATATTTAAACTTCCTGTTCCCAATGGACCCACAGAAAAAGACTGAACTGGGAAGGACTGGGGAGTTTTAGCTCCTCATACCATCTTCCTGCAAATCCTTCCACATGGCAGGAATAATTTGTCCAAATAGTGACATTCATAAATCAATTCTTTTTGTCCATGGTTTGTCAAAGAGTATTTATTATTCATTAGACATGGTTCTTATCTCTACAACTTGTTTGTGTTCAAACATGTGGCCCAAGGCCAGTCTAGCAGAGCCTTTACGTCATTAAAAAGTGAATGAGGAGACAATTGCATCAACCAGCAGCAAAAGCTTAGGATATAGATTCCAGCCCCCCTCCTCAATCTTTGCCAGGTTAGGTGTCCCACCCAACCCATCACAGGTTCTTACCCTTCCAATCTGCATGTGATATCCTTTGGTACCATCCCTCAAGGCCCTACACATTCATTCATTCATCAATCCCTGTTTCTCTCCTATAGTTCCTTTGCTGAGCCACATAGGCACTTGCCCTATTGTCAAAAAAAATTCTCTATAAAGATCTGGAAGTAGAAAGCGCCTGGCACTGTTGAATCTGGAGTTAATATAAAGCCTTGAGAAAAAGCTGATACTCTGATCCTTTTGGCGTATTTTGTATACTTAGTTTAGTATTTGCTAAACTTGCTAAAGAATCACCTCAAGTGTTTGTTAGAAAATAGATACAAGGTACCACCTCTATTCCACTGAATCAGACTCTCCAGGAGTGAGGAACTCAGAATATTTTTAACAAGTGCCTCAGATCACTTGAATGCCAGATCACTGATGTTGTTATTATTATTTTTATGTGCTGCCAGTTGATTCCATAGTTTCTCTACAGAACAGAGTTGCACTGTCCCATAGGGACTGCAGAAGGAACAAATCTGTCTTCGAAGAACTCTGGCCAGAATGCTCCTTAGATAAAAGGATCCCAAAACTTCCATGGCAGAGCTGCATTTTACATAGGGGTTTTGGGCTGTCACTTCTTTGGACATGTGATCAGGAGGGACCAGTCCTTAGAGAAGGACATCATGCTTTGTAAAGTAGAGTCAGTGTAAAAGAGGAAGACACTTAACAAGATGGACTGACATAGTGACTGCAACAACTGGCTTAAACATAGCAAATATTATGAGGATGATGCAGGACTGGACTGTATTTTGTTTTGTTTTTGGAGTGCTTAACTACTGCACCACTAGGAGACCTTTAGACTGCTGATAGACTCTGCATTGTTACCTTGCCATACATCAGAGGAGACCTGCCTCATGTTTTCCTCAGCTGAGATCTTTATGGGAACAGAGAGGTTATTTTCCCAGAGTGGCTGGTCGCTTTGAGTCAGAACCCACTTGATGGCACCTAACAACAATCTTGAGTGGAGCAGATTGCCAGGTCTTTTCTTTTGAGGAGCTGCTGGTGGGTTCAAAGTGCTGACCTTTCAGTTAGCAGTGGTCTATACTGGACCACACAGCTCATCTGGATAGAGCCTTTTACATGAATGAATGCAGCAATAATTGTTCCCCTTGTTCCAATTTTTCATTTCATAATCTACCCAAGGCCAATTCTAGATTAATCATCCAAAAACCCAGAATAAGACATATCACCTTCTAGCTCCAAACCTTTGATATTTGTGTTTTCATTACCAGTCTATTCTTACTTGTTTTTTCCCTCAACTTAATTAATTAAAATGGCAACTGTGTTATTGAGTCAATATACTTTAGTGGTCACATTTATCTTAGTGCACCTGATTTGAAGGCCCAACACGAGTTCCCACAGTACGTGAACCATATCACATCATTGATCATTTCATCTTATCTCACAAAATGCAAAGTGCCATCTGTTGTGAACCCATCTGTATCTCAGAAATTAAACTAAGAAAAATGTGTGACTTACAATAAGTGAAACAAAATATATTGAAATGCTTTTCTCTTTTGTGTATTTCTCAATAGACTATAAACTCCTTGCAAACAGGAAGTAGGTTTTGTTCACTTTTACATCCCCAGGATATAGCACATAGTAGTTCATCAAATATTCATTGAATATGCTATTGAACCATACTAGTAAAGTGAATGTTACCCTGTGTTACAAGAGGGGAAACAGCAGTCCATCCAGATACATACACTGCCCTATGTTACCCATGACTCACACTCAGTCCCAAAAGCCTCTGGAGCTCATGCTCCCTCCAATAGGATCCACCACCTCAAACAATTCTCCACTCCAACTGCACATCTGTATGATGAGCTAGTTACTGCTCAAACCATAAAAAACAAACTCACTGCCATCGAGGGATTCCAACTCATAGTGACCCCCTTTGGGTTTCTGAGGAGGTAAAGCTTTACAAAAGTAGATTGCCCAGTCTTCCTTCTGTGGAGTGGCTGATGGATTTCAGCCATCAATCTTCTGGTTAGCAGTCAAATGCCTTAGGCAACTATGCCACAAGAGCTCCTTACTTAACTGCTAATACCCTATAATAACATGACTTTACCTGTTCCCACTGGATTAGGAGTGTATGGCGGTGGAGGAGGGACACCTGGAGCTATGACACTGGCTAATGGTACCAGACCTGCATTGTTATAAGCACCTAAAATAAAAATATAGTAGAAAAAGAATACAGGTTAGTATTATTTTGTGGCCAGGAGTTCCACCTGTATTAATGCAGCTATCTAATTTATTTTCAAAATTGTTCCATGGTAGAGCTGCATTTTACATGGAGGTTTTGGGCTGAAGTTTAGGTGATAGTCACATATAAAAACTACCCTTAAAAGTCCCCCTGACACTACTCCATGGAAATCATGTGAAACTGAGACCAAGTGGGAAAACTGGAGATTTGTATTTCTGATCACATGTCACTCCAGGTGTAAATTCACTGAACTACATGGCAGGCAGCCCCAACCATACTTACATCATTTGTCTTTCCCGTCAAGCACGTATACTTGACTTTTCTAAGTTAAATGTATTAATGATGCCTCTGATCAGAATACCAACTATCAAAAAGGAATTCAACATGGTTTCCAATTAATTTAACAAAGTGAAAACTAATAATGATCATGAAAAACAATTTATAATGGCAAATGTTACCTAAACATTTATCACAACAACAAAAAAATTATACTTAGTTAATCAAAAGTCCTAAACAAATTCTGTCTGCTGCACTATTGCTAACAGGAGACTAGTAGCTGACTGTGAGCAAAATTAAACTCATCATAGCACACTTTATAAGTGCTCCAGATTCTTCTAGAACTTACACCAGCATTTCCTTTCAATTTAACAAATAGAAACAGCAAAAAAGAGAAGGAAAAAAAAAGAGAAAGGAACTCCTTACTTGGTGCAATAGTTGCATGTGGCCGGCATGGAGGTATTGGATAAGGAACAGGTTTATGTGGATTGTACGTTGAAGGAGGCTAGATGAAGGGGAAAGTATTTCAGTTAGAAGAAAATCAAGTAAGCTGTCTCCTGGCAAAACAAAACATAAAACTTGCCCTTCAAAATACTTAGTCCTAATAGGCTAAAACTACCACTCATCTATCAGTTTGTCATACCATGGTGGCTTGCACATGGCTATGATGCTAGAAGGAGCTTTGGTAGCGCTGTGCCTAAAGCATTGGATTGCTAACCAGAAGGCTGGAGGTTCAAACTCACTAACCACTCCTCAGAAGGAAGGTTGGGCAATCTACTTCCGTAGTGATACCACCTCAGAAACCCAAGGAGGGGTAGCTATGAGTCAGGTCCAACTCAATGGCAAATAACAACAACAACATGATGCCAGAAGCCATGCTACTAGTATTTCAAATACCAGCAGGGTCACCCATGGTGGACAGGTTTCAGCAGAGCTTCCAGACTAAGACAGACTAGGAAAGACAAGGCTATCCACTTCTGAAAAAACTGGCCACTGAAAACCTTATGAATAGCAGTGAAACAGTGTCTGATATACTGGACTGGGCAATGTTTTGTTCTATTGTATACAGGGTCACTATGAGTTGGAGCCAACTTGATGGTAACTAACAACCGTAGGCTAAAAATAGCCTAGCACATTAAATCTTACTGGACTAACCCTGGCACAAATGAGAGGAAGTTCTTTGCTTTAATAAATGTGATCCCTATTAAATTCCAAAGATAGACTCTGTCAAAGACAGCTGTGGCAGGGTTTATTTTTTATTTCAGTATCATTCCCAATGAAGGGTCAGGCCTTATTCTCAGCAACTTCTTCTATGACCCAGGCTGTGTTAATGCACGAATGCCTATCTCTTCTATGTAACACAAGACATCTACTAGACTTCTGGATCTTGGTTACCCAACGAAAATATCCTCCTAAACTCATTAGGAATATATCCTGTCATTCCCATCCTCTTTCCACTTTTTAAAAGAAAAAGAAAAATATCTATTTAGCATTTGGCAAACTTACAGAATGTAGAATAGAATTACAGTATTGTTGTTAGCTGCTGTGAAGTCGGCCACTGACTCGTGGTGACCCTATGCACAGAGGGATCAGACTGGTATGATCTATAGTGTTTTTAATGGATGATTTTTGGAAGTAAATTATTAAGCCTTTCTTCCTTGTTTTTGTATGGAAATTCCACTGAAACCTGTTCAGCATCATAACACCATACAAGCCTCCATGGACAGATGGTGGTGACTATGCTTGAGGTGCACTGCGCAGGAGTGGAACCCAGGTCTCCTTCACAGAAGGCAAGAATTCTACCATTGAACTACCATTGCCCCTCAAATGGACTTAGAGATACAATTATCTTAGTCTTTTTGCCTTTTGAAATATACATAAAATACTTTATTTTATAGCTGATGGAACTTATAAAATTAAAAGGGCATTCAAATAACTGGTCTTTATAGAATCTGATATCTAAATATAAACCAAATGCTGCACTTTAACTACTGACAGGGAGAGGACCACTAGGGCGATGGGAGGGCTCCACTGGTAGTGGGGAACACAGATTCTTTCTAGCTCTCAAAATATTGGCCCTATCTGAAGCACAAGCCTAATGCAAGGACTATGAAGTCTGTGACTGATTTGCCACAGGCATTCTTCTCATGTGGATAGTCAAGAACCCAAGGTGGCTGTGTGCTGCCCTCTGGTACTTCAACTCCAACAATCCTTCAACCCACAAGAATGTCTGTCCTCTTCTATCCAGTTTATATTCCAGTCAGTCATTATAATCACTCCTTGGAACATACTCTCAACCCCTTAGCTCTATTCTTGTTTCGCTAACACTAATATGCTCAAATTATAAACTTAGTTAAAGCAAACTTTCCACACTCTGTATCTGCAACTGCACAGTTGAATGTGGCTGGAGAAACATAAATAAATAAATAACTCGTCTCACTTTAAAATGAAATATTTAACCTCAAAATAGTCCGTAATACTATTGACCAAACATACTGTATTTCCTTAGACCATTCACTCTTACTCTCCTAGATTTGAACTTAGAACTTCTCAACACAAAAACTAAGTTTAAGCTTTGAATAGATAGAATACTGTAAGTAGGAGTTAAGAACTGTTTAATCAGAGAGACTTCCGGTAAGAAGAAGGAATAGGGAGATAAGCAACACAGACCCTCTTCAATAAAGAAAAGAAAAACCAATTGACAGAGATACAGAAGACAATCCTGAAGCCCTGAGCTTTGAAAGGAACTATACAGAAGTGAAGGAGCTCTGGTAGCATAGTGCCTATGGCAGCTGACTGCTAACCAGAAGGCTGTTGTTTCAAACCCACCAACCACTCCTCAGAAGGAAGATGGAGTAATCTACTTCTGTAGTGATATTGCCTCAAAAACCCAAGGAGGGGTTGCTATGAGTCCGGTCCGACTTGATGGCATATAAGAACAACAACAACAACACACAAAAGTTATTAGGCACCAACTAGTGGAAAAACCTGAACGAAAACACTGAGTACAGAGATGGTCGGAGCTGCAGACTGTCAGCTACTCTGGCAGGACCAACAGCCTGAATATTTCCAAGTGGTGATGGGACCTGAGAATTGACCTAAAGATCAGCCCTGGTCACCAAGGGCTGCAGGGATTGACTACACTGGTGGCCTATGACTAGGAAGGGAAACAGCAAGGAAGGATACAACGGGAAGGTACTTCCCGTTGTCTGGAGGGTGCAGCCATTTTGATTGTTTACATGCAGCAGCCATTTTGGATATTAAAAGTGACTGAGGCTACAGCCATTTTGAGTGTTTATAAGTGGGGGCCATTTTAGATATTTAAAGTGACCAAGGGCACAACCATTTTGAATTTTTACAAGCAGCAGCCATTTTGGATGTTTAAAGTGACCGAGGGTACAGCCATTTTGAATCTTTACAGGTGGCAACCATTTTGATTTTAAAGTGATAGCATTCTCATTCGGATTCCAGGGATCTAAGAATAGGCTATGTTTGCCAAAGTCGGCAGGGACATACAAGAGGCTGACAACAGGAAAGGAGACAGGTGGTGAGTGTGTAAGTGCTGTCAACTAGTGAATAGAGAAGCACAGCACAGTACCCTGCTTGCATACATGACATACAAACAAAACAAAGAAAACAAAAATCATGGGCAAGTCACTCCAACATAAAATCACCAATTAAACATAAACACAAAAATGTCACAATGCCTCGGAGACAACAGAGCATCACAGTTCACACAAAGAAGCAAGATAAAGCAGGAGAAACAAGGGAACAGGATACAGACCCAAACACATCCCTGAGGAAGATGCAGCATTGGAACTCCCTGATAAGAATTATATTTAGGTATCTTCAACAAATTGAGAGACAAACCAAGGAAAACACTGACAAAACTGAGGAAAAGAGAAAACCCTAGAACAATTTCAAAAGACAATTTAAGAAACAATGACAAAATAAATGAAAAATTAGAATTGATACAAAATCTACACACACAAATCCAGGAGATTAATATTAAATTTTCAGAAATAGATAAGACATTGAATGGGCAAAGGAGAAGAATTGAATCAATGGAAGACAGAATTAGTGAGATTGAAGGCAAGTATCTGAACACTTCTTTGGAAAGGGATAAATCAGAAAACAGATCAAAACAAAATGAAGAAAGCTTAAGGTTCATGTGAGATACCATCAAAAGAAATAACGTATATGTAATCCAAATTCCAGAACAGGAAGAGACAGATAAAACCACAGAGAAAACTGTCGAAGATTTGTTGGAAGAGAATTTTCCTGGTATGATGAAAGATGAGAATATATCCATTCAGGAAGTCCAACGACACCCAAAGAGGATAGACACCAAAAGAAAATCACCAAGACATATCATCATCAAATTCACCAAAACCAAAGAAAAAGAAAGAATCATGAGAGCAAGCACAGGAAAAATGAAAAGTTATCTACCAGGGGCAACCAATAAGACTAAGCTTGGATTTCTTGGCAGAAGCCATGCAGGTTAGAATACAATGGGATGGTATATATAAAATCCTGAAAGAAAAAAATTTCCAACCAAGAATTATGTACCCAGCAAAACTGTCCCTCAAATATGATGGTGAAATAAGGACATTTCCAGATAAGCAGAAATTAAAGGAATTTGTTAAAACTAGACCAGCAACAACAGCCAATAACAATTGACCGTTAACACACATGATATAACCCAGAAACCAACCCAGCTATGGAAGTATCCAAAGTAAATAATCCTACAAGACTGTAAACAGGGAACCAGAGACATCAATTGACAAATGAGGACAACTACAAACCAAAAAGAGGGAGAAAACTGTGTCATCACAGAACTTCTAGATGGTAGGGATGTCAGGACTACTACAAGACAGAAAGGACTGTTCTAAACTTGGGAAGAAAACTATAAATCATAGGATAACCTCAAAAAAAAAATGATAATCCTTCACAACAACATCAAAGAGGACCAGCACAAATATTCAGCAAATACTAAAACAACAGCAATGAAAGAAGTGATAACATGATTCATAAACAAAATGAGCTCAGAATAGAAAATTATATGGAACAAAGCAATCGATACCACGAGAAAACACATAACAAAAATGACAGCCACAAATTCATATTTGCTGATAATTACATAAATGGCAAGGGACTTTTCTCTAAGATTTATAGAAAACTCCAACGTCTCAACACCCAAGGAATTAATAATCCAATTGAAAAATGGGTAGAAGACATGAATAGACACTTCACCAAGGAGGATATTCAGGTGGCCAGCTAATACATGAAGAAATGCTCACAATCATTGCCCATTGGAGTTGCAAATCAAAACAATGAGATACCATCTCACCCCAGCAATGATGGCAAGGTTCAGTGAGACAGAAAATAACAAATGCTGGTGAGGATGTGGAGAGATTAGGACTCTCACACACTGCTGTGGGACTGTGAAGTGATACAACCACTGTGGAAAGCAATATGGTGATTCCTTAGAAAGCTGGAATTGGAGATACCATTTGACCCAGCAATCCCATTACTAGGTATATATCCTAGAGAGGTAAGAGCCAGGACAGGAACAGATACATGCACACTCACGTTCATCTCAGCACTATTCACGATAGCAAAAAGATGGAAACAACCTACATGCCCATCAGCGGAAGAGTAGATAACCAAACTATGGTACATACACATAATGGAATGCTGTTGTTGTTGTTGTTGGTATGTGCCATTGAGTCGGATCCGACTCATAGTGACCCCTCCTTGGGTTTCCCTGGCAGTATCACTACAGAAGTAGATTGCCCCATCTTCTGAAGAGTGACTGGTGGATTTGAACCACCAGCCTTCTGGTTAGCAGTCAAGTGCTTTAGGCACTATGCTACCAGAGCTCCCAAAAGGAATGCTATGCAGCACTAAAGAATAACATAGAGTCCGCAAAACACCACGTAATATGGATGAACTTGGAGGACATTATGCTGAGTGAAGTAAGTCAATCACAGAAGGACAAATATAGTATTAGTTCATTGTTGTGGAGGGTCAAGGAAAGGTTCATATGTGGAGGGAAACTTTCTTTGTTGGTTGCCATGGGTGGGAGGGGAGGAGGGAACACTGCAAAAAGAAAAAAAAAAAATGCACTCACCCATGTCACTTTAGTTTTGTGCATTTCACTGTACATAAATGTTATTTCAATAAAATGCATTAAAAAAAAAAAAAAAAGAACCGTTTAATCATTCATTTTCTAAACATACTGGTTTGGATGGTCCAAGAATCCGTGCTGCTATTCCTTTGCCTTCATTGGAACATTCTTCACCATCTTTTTTCAAAGGGGTTCCCTGTTTGAATTAAAAAAAATAGGTAATTCAAAGCAAAAATAAATAAATAAATAAGTAAATAAAAGCCAAAACCAAAGCCAAGTACACAAAAATAAAACCATTATGTTATATTGAAGGAAAGGACTTAACTTGGTAGGAGTTTAGAGACTTGGATTCTAGATCTAATTCTGCCCTAGCTAGCAGTATAATCCTATCAGGCTCCTCAACTCTTATGTGGTACCAAACCTTTGTAACACAGAGTTACTCCAAAGTAAACATACAATCATCAAAGGTGATAGTAGAAGGGGAGCATAAAGTATGCTCTATTTTTTTTTTTTTTATCTACAAAAAGAAACAACCAAAAATAACTTTCAATTGCACTGTACATGTTGTTTAAAGAATCAAGAGGAGTATATCTGTAATATAGCTGAAAATAGGTTAAAAAAAATGGTGTTCTCTATAACCATTAAGTGTGATTACTTTTATTGTACAAGGACAAATAACTCATCCAAGACTGCTGTAATTAACAGATCAGAGTGAGCTGATACACTGCTACTGTGTGTCCCTCAATGGTAAATGCTAGTATGGAAGCCATTTTCCCAGATGGCCCCAATGACCCTTGCCTCCTATGTGCCCTTTGGTAGTCCCCTCCCACAATGCACAGGGCTGACTTTTGTAACACAGAAACTGCAGAAATGGTGTTTGACTTCAAAGACCATGTCACAAGAGACAGTGAAGCTGCCAATTGTTCTCTCTTGAATCATTTGCCTGGAGGAAGATAGCTGCCATGTTATGAAGACACTCAAGCAGCCCTATGGAAAGTCCTTTGGCAAGAACAAAGGCTTCTGCCAATAATCAGGCCTAATTTACCAGGATATAAGTGAGTCACCTCCTAAGTACATTCTGAGTCCTAATCAAACCTGCAGATGACTGCAACCTCATAAGAAAGCCTGAGCCAGTACCACCCAACTAAGCCATTTCCAGATTGCTGGCCCATAGAAACTGTATTGTTGTTGTTGTTGTTATGTGCCGTGGAGTAGGACCCAACTTATAGCGACCTCTCCTTGGGTTTCCAAGGCAGTTATCACTACGGAAGTAGATCACCCAACCTTCCTTCCAAGGAACGGCTGGTGGGTTTGAACCACCAGCCTTCTGGTTAGCAGTCAAGTGCCTTGAGCACTATACTACCAGAGCTCCTATAGAAACTGTATAAGGTAGGTAAAAGTTTATTGCTTAATCTACTAAATGCTGGGGTTATCTGATACACAGCAATAGAAATTTACCATTCTTTGGAAAAGTTATTTACAAAGAAGTTTGAGGAACACTTATCAAACCAAAACCAAACTCACTGCCATTAAGACAGATCCAACTCACAGCAACCCCTCCTTGAATTTCCAAGGCGGTATCACTATGGAAGTAAACTGCCCAATCTTCCTTCTGGGGAGTGGCTGGTGGATTTGAATCTCCAGCCTTCTGGTTAGCTGCCAAATGCCTTAGACACTATGCCACCAGAGCTCCTCTGAGAAACACTAGGTGATATAAAATCAAGTTTCTCTCCCATGGACAGGACTTTTCAATGTCTGTATTATGCAATGTGATTCTCTGAGACTGGAACATTATATGCAGAGTTTCCCAAAAGTACTTAACTGTGAAAGTGTCTCAGGAATACTGAACATTTGAGAAATTCTGCTTTACTAAATATAAATCAGTGCTTCTAAAAATGCTTGAAAAACAAAGCAAAATAAAACAAAAACAGTATTCTCTGTTTGGCTTGTTTAGTTTAGATTTCACACAAATATTTAAATGTAGTTTAAATAAGAACTTTTAGTATGTGATCAATGTATGAATTAAACTACTGACATGATGAAATTCCTTTCTTTTGTGACAGCATCATCAACTGGCAATGTTAAAATATCAAAACTATGGTAAAAATTTAATCCTTAGCCATGACAAGTTTCATATATAGCCATAAAAGTATTCTTACTGGGAAAATTCCATTTATGCGACTAGGTCTTCCTTTGGGATATGGATTTCCTGGAATCGTTCCACAAGAAGATATCATAGCATGAGGAGCTTTGCAGCCTCCCTTGAAAGCCTGTAATGTAACAAGAGAGGGTGGTTTAAAAAAAAAAAATCAAACAAACTGAGAAACTCAAGTAGTAGGGGTATTGAGAAGCTTAGTCAAGAAACATGAATTAAAGAAAAGTATCACATTGAATCAGCACTTACTGCTGTAACATAACCAAAATTAATAAGTAAAATTACTTTATTTAAATGGTATTATCAAAATGGTCACATAATGTTAATTTTGCAACTAATCGACTCTTACACAAGACATCTTCACAATGGATTTTGTAAACTATGTGCAGAAAAGGTCATTTATTTAACCTGTATTATCTATCATTAAGAAACAATATAATCCAATTCTATAAACACTATGTTCATGCTATAGGTAAAACAAGGAGAGCATAGAGATGAAGGAGATAGGCTCTATTCTAAAGGAGTTCACCACTTAGTAGGAAAAACACAAACAACATAGGACATTGTCCAAAGAGTTGTGCTGTTGAAAAAGCAAGAGTTATTTGTTGAACACAGTGCTAGACACAATGTAATATACTTATAAGATATACTCAGGGAAGGGATTTAAGTTTTAGCTTGTTTATTGTTACATTCCAGTTTCTAAAACAGGTACATAACACATACTAAGTTCATGATCAACACTTACTAAATGAATAAAGCAACCAATATTATGCAACATATATCCTGATAAATCCATATTGTGTTATAGGAATATTAAGTTGTTTATATATATATATATACACACACACACATGGCTATACATGTGTTATACATATATTTTTAATAGTTATGTTGCTGATGTTGTCATGTGCTGTCGAGTCGGACCCAACTCATAGAGACTCATCCCTGGCTTTCCTAGGCGGTATCACTACAGAAGTCGATTGCCCAACCTTACTGACTTTATAAATTCATTTTTTACACATGTTGTTGTTGTTCGGTGCTGTCAAGTCATTTCCGACTCACAGCGACCCCATGCACAGCAGAATGAAACAGTGCCTGATCCCGCGCCAGCTCCATGATTCCTGCTATTCTTGAGCCCTTCATCTCAGCCACCGTGTCAATCCACCTCGTTGAAGGCCTCCCTTCTTTCGTCGACCCTCCACCCTACCAAGCATGACATCTTTCTCCAGGGATTGGTCCCTTCTGACAAGATGACCAAAATAGGTGAGACGAAGTCTGGCCAGTCTCACTTCCAAGGTGCATTTCAGTTGCACTTCCTCCAGGACAGATCTGTTAGCTCTTTTAAAAGTCCATGGTACTTTCAGCATTCTTCGCCAGCACCACAACTCAAAAGCATCAACTCTTCTTCAATCTTCCTTATTCATTGTCCAGCTCTCACATGCATACGAGGCGATCGGAAATATCATGGCTTGTGTCAGGCGCACCATAGTCCTCAAGGAGATATCCTTGCTCCTCAGCACTTGAAACAGTTGCTTTGCGGTTGACCTTCCCAGTGCTACACATCGTCTAATGTCCTGACTGCTGCTTCCATTGGCATCGATTGTAGAACCAAGCAATGTGAATTCTTTAACAACCTCAATCTTCTCTTCGTTTATTGTGATGCTGCTCA